AGGTTAGTACCTTTGGATACAGAACAAGTCAAAAGGTTACATACATAAGTACAGGCAATTTTAGCTTAAAAATTAATATAACTTAATTTTACATCATTCTCTATTTACATTGAAGTATTCATCTAAAGAGTAGAAGGAATGAGCATGTAGATAATTCTTTAACTCTGATTTAAACTTTTTAGTATCATTGCCCAAGTTTTTAATACTTTGTGGCAGATTGTTGAACACTTTTATGCCAGTAAAGTAGACTCCTTTTTGATATACTGATAAAGTTGATGAGGGTAGGTGGAAGTTATATTTTTGTCTAGTATTCATGTTATAGACATCAGCATTTAATTTGAATTTATCTTTGTTGTAAACAACAAATAAGAAGCATTGTTAGTTAACAGTGAGATAAACCTTTCACATTTTTGTTCAGGTGCAAGTGGAAACCATGTTTATATAGACATGTATGGCTCTGAAGTTGAAGATTACTCTGGAAGAAGATCCACAACAAGGCTTGATACATGGGTGTTCAGGAAGGTTGAGGAATTTCTGAACCATGCCAAGACAGATGCTGTTCTTAATTAAAAGCTTAATCAAGATAAAATTGTATTTTTCCTACATCTTCTTGGACTTGATACAGCTTTTCATACACATAAACCATATTCAGTGTAAGTGTTACAGAAGTGAGTGTTTTGAGTCACACTCCAGTTACTTTGCCCTTTCAGCCTTCGGTATGTGTTAGATAGTAGATAGCTTGCAGGTTCCAAAGCTGTTGTGGGCGTGATGGTGATTCAGTCTTGCCAAAAATCAAATAATGGTTTTCCACTCTATGGGCAACCACTGGTCTATCAGTAAGTACAGTAAACTGCGAGTTATCCTGTATCTGGGCATTGCAAATGCTAATTCAGTGATTAAAAATTTCAAAGGAAATTTACCATGCTTATAAGTTACTCAAAAACATACTTGCAGTGCACATATATTCACCCTTCATTCAGTAGTACTCGCAGCCACCTGTAGCACAGCTACCTGCCTTTCCTTGTGTTGCAGTATAGTATATGTGATTTAAATCTATCATCCATCAGTCTGCCTTGTTACCTAGAAAGACAACTATGTATCCTTCCATGTACAGTAAAACTTGGTTATAGCAACATCGGTTTCTGTGACACCTTGTCTATTGCGTCAAATATTCAATGGTACGAACTAATTCCTCATAAAGCAACTGTTTTTATACCTTGCTTAGTACAACATGCACAAATGCATCAACCTCGTATGTAACGTCATTTTCATTCCTGAATTTCTCTGATATCATGGGAAAGTTCGATGTGTCTGCCCACCCTCACTTTCTCTACTTGCTGACGTGACTGTCCTGGAAGAATACGACCGCGGGCTGCAAGAGGAGCGTGGGTTTTATGCGAAAACAAGGGTGTGGGGTGGGACTGCGTGAATAGTGCAAGAGGACGCGGCAGTTTGTTAACTGCATTCCTTTCCTAGAATCTCGTCTAACAGGACCTCACATTGTCTACTTACCCTATAGTGTTCCTGCCTAAACCCAGAGAAGTGCAGTAGCGAAAACATGGCAATGAAAAGGAAAGTTTTAAGCATTGAAGAGAAAGTTAAAGTGATTCGTGAAATATTGTGTGTATTGTCAGTGAAAAGCGCTGTAATATGTCTTTGATATTACACATTTGGGCAATTCCACGTTAATGTTACGTTAGTCTGTACTTAACTACGTATTTCACTAAAAAATGCAACATTTTAACTCGGTTTTTGGTAGATTTTTACGTGACTAACATAAGGCTACTGTGGAAGTGCCCATTTCGGTTACAACGACATTCGTTTATAACGACACTATTTTTAGGTCCCTTTGATGACGTTATAACCAAGTTCTACTGCATATAGATTTTGAGGTTTTTATGGCAGTGAATGTTCAGATTTTGGTATTCTCGGTTGTGACACCTTATAAGCCTTGTAGGCAGATACAGACATTTCAGAAAAATGGACAGGGACCAGTGAAGGCCTCTTGTGAAGACAGTAATGAACCTTCAGGTTCCATAAAATGCTGGGAAGCTCTTGAAGTAGCTGCACAATTGGAAGCTTCTCAAGAAGGGCTCGGTTTCATGTTGCCTACATTTTTGGAGCTGAAGATGGAAACATTTCCCCCCCACAATATCAGTGTCTGCCTGCAAGACTGCATCGTGACACAGTGAAGAAGGCTAGATTCTGAAGACTTCTTCAGTCTATTTTTGCCTCTGTCCCGTTTCCATTATGTTTCACATTTTTTCTTATGATTGATATCTATAGAACATACTTTACAATTTTTCCCCTATATTTGCATTGTTTCTTGTTTTGAAACAGAGAATACAAGGAGAACATAAGAGTTGTTAATGCAGGAATCAAGAGAATTGAGGAAATGATCGAAGAGTTTTATCAACATGACAAGAAGACAGCTTACGTATTCACATCTGATCATGGCATGACAGACTGGGGTGAGGAACGCATTATATGCTTTCTATACACAGTATCATTGTAAGAATTCAGGAATGGATAATCTCCTCAAATGTAAGGAAAACATAAATGCACCAAGGATGGCAGATCCTAAATTGGAAGCTGTGCAGAAATACAACACTCTAAAAAATGACTAAAGTGGATATTTTCTTCATCCTCAAGTATCATTTCCTTCTTATCCCTGTCAATGGGCAAGAAGTCTCCAACCTTTTCTGTTTTCCCAACACCTTTGCTTTTTGATCTTGTGCCAACTCTTTCCTCCCTTCTTCCCATTTTTCAAATCTAACTAACCTGTCTCTTTGTGGGTTATCCATTAGGTCTCTTTCCATAAAATTTGACATACGGTGCCCATCTCGATGTCCTTGTTCTGTCCTTTCTGATTTATGGGGGTGGGTTATAACAGTGCTGTCAGTTTCAAGATTATGTAACATTGTGTGGTTCAGGAGGTTCTGGACTATTACCTGTAGACTAATTTGAACTCCTCAAAACCTTTTATTTTTAATTTAGTCTCTTCATTATTCAGGAATCATCATATAATGTAACAAAGTAAATAACAGGTAGATAAGTAAACTGATGAATGTTTGTCAGCAATTTCGATCTCACACATTCCTTGAATTTATCCTGGAGGTGCTGGCAATTTTATGTGTGTTTGTAGGTTCCCATGGATCAGGTGCTAAGAGTGAGACAGAGACACCCTTGGTTGCCTGGGGTGCAGGTGTGAGAGGACCCTGACTGACTACAAGCACTGAACCTTCCAGTCCAGCTTCCTGGAGACTGGGACATTTGTCTCGCAGTGATGTCAGTCAGGCAGATGTTGCACAAATAATGGCAAGCCTGATCGAAGTCCCTGTGCCAGTCAATTCTGTGGTGTGTCTTGGTCTCTTAATTGACAAAATGTTTTAATGGCTCTTATATTTTTTTTCAGTTCATGGGTTACTTAATAATGCTCTCAGTATTGAGATTATATAGTGTCAGATCATAGGACGATAGATGAATGATAAACTGGAAAAGATTTGGAAGGAAGGAATATAGCCTAATCGAGGGTACTATCCAAGAATTTGCTTGGCGGGAATGAAGAAAATCACAAAAAGCCTTAGTTGGGGCGGCTGGTATACCAGCCAGATTAAGAGTGATCACCTTCCGAATACAAGTCTAGAACATTATCATGAGACCAGCCTGTTTGGTAGCAAATGTGTATTAATGCTTTCCCTATCAATGAACTGATCATATTTCTTCTTGGCCTATTTTGGTTTGTGTGTAGAGGTCAGATTTCTATTGCATGTAATTTATATAGAGATATTCTAGAACCATACAAAATAATTGATTTTCAACATTTTCTGCTTCTTACTTCGGATGAAAGTCTGTCTTTGGTTATTCAGTTTTAATGAAACCAGCTGTGATATATGAATGTGAGCTACATGCATGACTGAAAAGGACCAACTTATGTTGACTGAATTGTCATACTGTAGGTTTTTTCTTTATATGAACAGATCAGATGTCTTGACATAAAAATGCTTTGTTCATTCATATACTGTTAAAGTCACGGTTGGCTTTGAAATAATTATTTTTGGATATAAAGCTGTATATGCCTTAGAGGCAGAGTGGGCATTCTGACTGAAGAGGAAAGACCCTGTTCCTGCCAGGTATTGAAGCCAGGAAATTTCGTTGTATCTGTGAAATGGTCCTCTTGTAGGGAACTTCCACGAGACTACCTGGAAGTCACAGAACATCACCCGTCTGAATTAATGTTTTCCAATGCTCATCAGAAGGTTGCACGGTACAAGAAACGAGAGCTGACTGAGGCTGGAAGTTTATCATGGATATATAAAGAATTCTCAGTTCTGAACCAAAGCAAAGAGACCAAACTTACTGATCAAATCTGTTCTCACATTAGAGCTAAAAGATACACTGAATCCATAAGTACGTTTTTGTCATTTTTATGTGTCTAGAAATACAAAACATTTCTTAGTGAAAGTTTTACTCTGATGATTCAGAATAAGTGTTGTAATATTTTACATAGAACACGTTTCTCTGTGTCATAACTTTAGAAAAATTTTCTTTCTTTTTTTTGTGTATTTGCATAAAATAGTTGTAAGATGTGTCTGAGTGTTACATATTTGGATTCAACCCATAATTTTAATGTGCCTTGTATCTGCAAAAATGATATTATGATATTCCTTGCATAATAAAGATATTGGGCTCTAAAAATTAGGCTGCATATTTCAAAGTCTTTGTTCTTGTGATGCCCATCTGACGTTCATGTGATGAATTCTATTTTCCAAGTGTAGCTGTGATGATGTAACCTTTAGTAAAGAAAATTCTGCTGCTTAATTCCAGATGACTGAGTAATGACACTATAACTATTATATTTAGGTTACCTTATTTTAAAGTTTTTTTATGGAACCCAAGGTTCATTACCATGTTCACAAGAGCCCTTCACTGGTCCCTATCCTGAGCCAGATCTATCCAATCCATCCCATTCCATCCTAACTCTCTAAGATACATTTTAATATTGTCCATCCACCTATGCCTTGGTCTTCCCAGTGGTCTCTTTCCTTCTGCCTTTCCCACCAATATCCTATACGCTTTCCTCATCTCCCCCATTCGTGCTACATGCCCTGCCCACCTCATCCTCCTTGACATTCTAATTATACTTGGAGAAGAGTACAAGTTATGAAGCTCCTCATTGTGCAGTTTTCTCCAACCTCCTGTCACTGCATCTCTCTTCAGCCCAAATATTCTCAACACCCTGTTCTCAAACACCCTCAGTTTATGTCCCTCCCTTAATGTCAGAGATCAAGTTTCACACCCATACAGAACCACAGGCAAAATTGTAGTTTTTTATGTTGGCGACTCCTGCAGAAGGGCTCAGCTCCATGAGTAAGTATTTTTTTTAATTGCTAGTCCCTTGTACTGCGGCCACTTCTGGCCTGTTGTACCAGCCCAAGATGATAGGTGAGGGTGATTGTGGAGCAAGTAGTGGAATGAAGATTGGCAGGGGAAACCGAAGTACTTGGAGGAAACCTGCCCCAGCGCCACTTTGTCCACCACAAATCCCACTTGACCAGACCGTGATCAAAACTGGGCCACCACAGTGGGAAGCCAGCGACTAACCACTTGAGCTATGGCGCGGCTGAGTAAGTAAGTAAGTATTTTAAAGTTTAAAAAATTAAAGTTTTGCTTTTGGTTGTATTTACTGATGAATTATAATTAGCCAAGCCCCATTCAGGATTGCTTCTTACTGCAATGATTCCACATTTCTGTGGGTTTTGTCACACCTAAGCCTCTGTGTATCTCTGCCTTCCCGAAACTCCTCATAATTGTCCTTCTATAGTCTTCCTTTTTTCTGTGTGACATTGTTCTTAATCTGTTGTACCCATCTTGGTCTTTATTTTGGTAATTTTCCTCCTATTTTCATGTTATGATTTTTATTCATTCATAAAACTTGTCTTAAACATCTTAGTCTGTAATTTATTAATTTATCTTTCAATTCTACGATTTTTAGTTTCTCATGCAGGTAGCACATATGACAAAGTAATGTGGTTGTGAAAAAAAGAAATACCCCCAAGATTTTGATGGATATACACATTTTCAGCTCCCTAGAATACACTTTTTTTTTTTCAGATGCTAGATATTTATGAGTTTGTCATCGTAGATTAGTGCCCAGTGAATATGAACACCTTAGCTCCAAAAGTAGGGGCCCTTCAGATGGATCAAAAAAACAATTAGAACAGTTTTCATTAAATTTCAGTAATTTTGGAGATCTTCTCCCTAAATAAAACAGCATAGGTTATGTCATCAGGAAAAGAATGGTATGCCCTCTAGTGGCCTGAACTCTTAAATAAAAAAGTATGTGCAGTGGCTTCCCACCAGAAGTTTTATATATTATTCTTCCTCTTTCTTGGTTCTTTTTCAAAATCCCAAGAGAACTATCACAGGAAAATATTTAATTATATGTTCTGTTTCCAGATTGTTCCAAGCAAAGAGCTAATAGCCTTGAGTCTCTTAGGATTGAACTATTACCAGAATTACTACCAGTACCTTCTTCTGACTTGTGTAACTCTTGCATTTCTTGGTTGGATTGCCTGCCTTCTTCACTCCCTAGTTGGTGATGACAGCAGTCATAAAAAGAGCCCTTCATTTCTTCATGTCCAACATGATGAAGTATATCAGGAGCATGAGCTGTTGACCTTCACTCATTCTAGACTATTCAGAGGGGGCTGCTGGGTGAACATTGCCTTTTTGTTCCTAGTTATTCTGACTATGGGTCTGACTTGCAGTAAGTAAAATTGTAATATTGTCCAGAATTCATATTTAATCCAGTGTTTTTCAGTCTTATCCATTTTGTTGAAGACTCAATTTAGACTAATGTAAACTGTGCTTTTTCTTCCAATACAAATGTTACCCCTTCATTTCTATATATACTCTCTACTTCCCGAGTTAATCTGGTGGGCTGTAGCTCGACACTGGGCTGAACTTATGGCAGCCATATCTCATGTCAGGAGCTCAATGGGTCTACGAAGGTTATTGATGTTCTTTGTCTACCATGTTACAGGAATTGAAATACTTGTAAGTAATGACTATGTATGCCTTATATGATCCTTAGCCATGTCTTGATCATGTTAATGTTGTACCCTGTTACATTAAGGGGTATCCAGCCCTAAATGTCAGTAAAATAAAATATTCTATATGCAAAATGAAAACAGACATTATGCTTCTAACATTTGCATGTAGTGTGGTAATTCTCAAAGTTATTTTCCTTCTTGATCAAGTCACCTGTGTGCATATGCATGTACAGGAGCTCCATACTGCCCCATCGTTCTTCAGTTAAAGAGAAGAAGTAGTCTGTGTGACGCAAAGTGGATTGCATTCTTCAGTTGGCAGAGTTTAAATTGTGTGCCCATATTATTAGATGTACCCACATCAAGTAATGCTGATATACACATCTGTGATGCATTTAGACAAGCACCTGAAAGAGCACATAGTGCCTTGCAACAGAATAGGCCACTACATTGTATGGTGACCCTAGACAATGCCAAATGTATACACAAAACATGTCAGAGCAGCCCTTGCAAGTCTCTTTAACAAGAAAGTTTAGGATTAGGCTTGGATTGTGGATCTGTGCATGGCGTTTTGTACGAAAGTCTGAAATTTCATGCCTACAGGCTTGACTTGGTCCGGAAGACGACATGCACAGATCAGGATTTGAGAGAACAGTCTGCTTTAGAATTGGTTTCCCATATCAAACATGACATGACCTATCTCAGCAAATTTGTTTTCTGATGAAGCAGTGTTTCATGTATGTGGATGTTAACGTATGATGCGCTATGATGAAGAACAACATCAGTCTTTTCTTTTTTGGAGAACTAATCTGGCTGGTGGGAGCGCAGATATCTCAGTTTGTATAGCAGTTGGCTGTGGGCTGGACGACCTGGGTTCGATTCCCAACAGGGACAGGGATTTTTCTCTCCCACAGCATCCACACTGGCTCTGGGGCCCACTCGACCTCCTATCCGATGCGTACTGGGAGCTCTTTCCCAGGAGGTGAAGCAACTGGGCTATGAAGCTGACTGCTCATCTACATCTAGTTCCAAGGTCAAGAATGATGTGGCTAAATCTCCACTTCTCATTACATCATCCTAGTGTGGTGCATATCATTGCATAGGAACTTGGGGCACAATTTCATGGGACACTTCTTCTCCAGGTCGTACTCTCTTACATTTTTTGGGTGTGGGGGCATGTATGTGGTGTCAACAACATACTTTCCAGTACCTCATGAGAAACAGAATATTGCTTTGGATTGTGTCATGCCACTAATAGTACCCATATTGAGATCTACTGAGCACATAAGAAACTTGATGAGGTGCAGTGTTTAAAATGTATCAGTTTCTTTTGTAGAGTTAGTGACCAAAGCTATGTAATATTTCATTTTGTTGACATTTAGTGTCAGATATACTGTATTTTATTAAAAAGGTAAGTTCTTCATAGTGTTTCATGCGAAATAAAAAGAAAACCTGAAACTGTTACTTGAATGGAACACTCTCCGGTGTATCTTGTGATCTGTTGAAGCATAAGGGAGTTAACTCTTCAGTAGATGTCAATAGATGCTAAGAACTTCTTTCTGTGTCCAGTGATTGGAGCTAGTCCTTATACCAGGTAATGAATGTAGATCCATGTTATGAAACACTGTCTTTCAGAACACTGGCTGTGTTGGGAGATGTCCAAAGAAATAGTCATGGTTACGTTTAACATGTTGTTACTCCTGCACCAATCAATCAGAGTTCTGTAGCACTAGTAGTCTTACATCTTGCAATATATGTCAATGCATCAAAAATTTATATTATTATGTAATAGGTGTTAAAAATATTACTGTGTACAGATTCTTGCCATACAGATGTACATGTTTATGTAAATGCTAAAAGTGTCTGAAGAAGATAATGAAATAGTGTTATTAAAATGTGTGTTCATATTTCAAGGTTGTGTCTTTCTTCTACCGCTCTTCTGAGTATTGGGATGTTGCGCATAGCAGTTTGGCCCATTGTCTTTCCACTAGCCCAACCAGTTCATTTGCCACTTCTCGCAGGCTGGTTGACCTGTCTATTTCTGGCAGTGTTTGCTCTGCCAGAAGAGAAGAGAACCCAACACACAACTTGTGTAAGTAAAATCCTAAACTTCTAAGCAGATCTGTTTAAATTCTACAAAAGAGAATATAAAATCTTCTTGGACTGTGATATTTGAAAACAGTTTTGCTTCATTTGTGTTCTTTCCAATGCACAGAAATGAGGAAGTTAGTATTACTTTAGACTTGTATTCAAGGAGTATCTGATTTGAACTTCATTTAGGGTCTCTCTAATTTTTTGCAATTTTCATCATTCTTGCCAGATGAATAACAATAGAGCATGCTCCCAAGTTACAGAAGGAATGGATTCTTGAAAATTTGTCCATGTTGTGAAATTCCATGATACA